TTTACATTTGCTTAGTTATTTGATTATCATTCTTTAAAGCTAGTTTTTATATTGAGTTTAGATTTGATTTATCTCTTTGTTACACACACCCACTTGAGCTTATTGTATTTGCATACATAGTATATTAGGGTTGTGAGAGATTGTAACATTGAGTTGTGCTTAATTGAGTTCTCCCCTTGTATGAGAGAACAAATCATTTATTGTTACATTGTGAGATTGTAAGGTTTTTGATGAGCTAGAAAACCGAGTGTGTTGTGAAGTTTTCGGTAAACTAGAAAACCGAGTGTGAGGAGTGAACGTTGTTCGGTGAGCGTTGAAAACCGACACTGTGAGGTGTAAACGTTATTCGGGTGAGCGTAGAAAACCCGGTTGTGATAGTGGATTTCTCCCCGGGAGTAGGGAGCGGAGACGTAGGACGGAAGGTCCGAACTCTGTGATCATATCGTGTGTTTGAGTTTGCTTTGGCGCACTTAATCTTATGTTTATATTTCTTGTCGCCATTGTCCATAGCTCATTATTTATATCATCCACTATCTAGTTCATATTGTTTATCCTTGTGTTGTTTATATATCCTTGCACATACATTGCCTATATCTCTTTGTCAGGATATATCTTGTTGTTCATATTGCTTATCCTAGCTTACATATCTTGTTGTATTTCATACTTACTAGGATAACTTATTAATTAGTTTTTAATTAGCATTTAAATCTGATTAGATTAGCATAAGACCCTAATCACCCCCTCTAAAGTCTCACACCTTGCATTTTATCATGTGAGAACAGATAAATTGGAACCTCGAACTAGGAAGGTCATATTTGTAGGATTCAAGCATGATGTCAAGGGATACAAGCTTTGAGATCCAGTTGATAGGAAGATTGTACTGAGTAGGGACGTCACGTTTGATGAGGCTTCTATCTTGAAGCTTCCCAGCTCTCATCAGGTGGAGAGCGACCCGACAGAGGAGATATCGCAGGTAGTGAAGATCGATGCAGCTCCACATTGTTCAGATAGTACAGTATCCATTAGAGTGCCGACTGAGGTGACGCTAGGTGAGCACGACGATGAGGAGGAGGATACGAGTACAGTTATGCAGGATCAGAGACCGACGGCTCAGGTTCAGGATTCTATTGCCGTTCGGAGACAGAGGAGAGACATACGAATGCTAGCACGGTATGCCGACACAGTTGTGTATGCACTTCTGGTGGAGAGTATCGATGAGATGGTGCCTACTACATTCAGAGAGGCCGAGCAGAGTTCGGAGACTGATTCATGGCAGGTAGCTATGCAAGAGGAGATGGAGTCTCTTCATAAGAACGATACGTGGGAGCTTATTGAGCTTCCAAAGGGGCGGAAGAAAATTGGTTGTAAGTGGGTATACACGAAGAAGAAGTGCATGAGGGCACTCCATTGAGGTTCAAAGCTAGGTTGGTTGCGAAGGGCTATGCACAGGAGGAAGGAATAGATTATAATGAGGTTTTCTCTCCGGTGGTAAAGCATTCTTCGATTCGGATTTTGCTAGCTTTAGTGGCACAGTATGGTTTGGAGTTATATCAGTTGGATGTGAAGGCCGCATTTCTTCATGGTGATCTTGATGAAAAAATATATATGACTCAGCCATTAGGATTCCGAGCTGCAGGGAAGGAAAAATTAGTTTGCATATTGAAGAAATCGCTATACGGTTTGAAGCAGTCTCCTCGACAGTGGTATAAGCGATTTGATGGTTTTATAATTGGTCATTCGTACACTCGGAGCCAGTTTGATCCTTGTGTATATTTTCGCAAGCTGAAAGGAGGTGTGTACATCTATTTGTTACTTTATATCGATGACATGTTGGTTGCCTCTATTTCCAGATCTGCTATAGATGAGTTAAAGGCACAGCTTTCAAAGGAGTTTGAGATGAAGGATTTAGGTGAGGCGAAGCGTATTTTAGAGATGGAGATTGGTAGAGACAAGAAGAAGGGTAGAATTTGTTTGACACAGGTAGCTTATTTGAAGAAGGTACTACAGCGATTTCATGTTAGCATGTATATGAAGCCAGTTAGTGTACCATTAGGAGCCCATTTGAAGCTTTCAGCTGATCTTTCACCGAAGACAGTTGAAGATCGAGAGTTGATGTCGAAGACTCCATATGCGAGCATGGTTGGGAGCTTGATGTACGCGATGGTATGTACGAGGCCAGATTTGTCACAGGCAATGAGCATGGTTTCGAGATACATGCAAGATCCATGAGTGGGTCATTGGGACGCCGTGAGATGGATTTTGAGGTACATTAGAGGTACGCTTAATGTTGGTTTGATTTATGAGCGGGATACTACAGGTGGGCAGTCATGCATTGGCTATGTTGATTCGGATTATGCCGGAGATTTGGATAAGCACCGGTCTACTACGGGGTATGTATTTACTTTGACCCGTGTGCCGGTGTGTTGGAGATGCACCTTACAGTCGATGGTGGATTTGTCTACAACGAAGGCAGAGTATATGGCGATTACGGGGGCTGTGAAGGAGACTATTTGGCTTCGAGGACTTTTGGAGGAACTTGGTATATCGCAGCGGTCCGTCACTATTTATTGTGATAGCATGAGTGCTATCTATTTGGCGAAGAATCAGGTTTTTCATGCGAGGACAAAGCACATTGACGTTCGTTATCACTTCGTTCAGGATGTTCTTGAAGATGGAGATGTGGAGATAGTGAAGGTCCACACGAAGGATAATCTGGCGGATATGCTCACAAAGGTGGTTCCGAGCAACATGTTTGATCATTATCGAAACTTGTTGCACATTCTTGATTGTTGAGGCTATTGACGGCCATTTGGATGAACTACGGGCGGCTTGATTCCTTGGGCAATAGGATACGTAGGCAGTCATTTATGATGCAGCCGATTTGGTGAGTAGATACCGATATTTGGTTGCTTTGATGTCGGCTCAGTTTTGAGAAAACTTCATCGAGGTGGAGAATTGTGAACGTAGGGGGGGCTCAGTTTCCGTGTGAAGAAACGCAAACACGTTCACGAGTTCAAGAAAACGCGGTTTCAATTCAATTTCGCGACCCACCCGAGTTCACAGTGTTCGTGCTTATAAATGCACGCCGAAAAGATCACCTAGGATTTCGCGCAAGGAGTTTATTTTTGTGTTTTGCGGCTGCAGGAGAAAAGAGCAAGCCGGCAGAGGGTTTCTTGTGCAGCTGTCTTCATTGGCTTCGTGCAAAGCGGCCGTGCAAGGGTTTTTTTGTGCATCCCTCTTTTGAGAGAGATATTTGTATGAGGGATGTGAGAGTTTGTGTGAGGGTTTAGATTGAGTGATTGTAAACCCTAGTTGTATTCTCTCCCTCTAATAGTAGATCTCCCCCCTCCTTGCCCAGTGGACGTAGACAATTTGCCGAACCACGTAAAATTGGTTGTTTCGCTTTTGTGTGATTTGTAATAGCTTACTTAGTTCTCTCGACAGGTCAGTCCTATAACTGATAAGAGGAAGAGCTGATATCTCACTTGGTTGAGATATTTTGCTTAAAGTTCATGTTTCCTTTGTGAAACAAGATTTCCTATTGCGATCTAACTCTCTTGTTATGCCGAGGTGCTGCCGAAATTTCCGCTGCGCGCAACAAGCACCAACTTCTCGTTATATATAAAGGGGAGATTTTATTAAAACTACTATCAAAAAAAGTATTCTATTAAAATTAATTTTGCAAGTTAATAATTTAATTAAGTATAATTTAAATATTTTCAAAATTTTTAATTTTTAACATAATATTCCAATTTTAACTCTTTAAAAGTCGGATGGAGATAAAAATAATAGCAATATCTGGATAATTTCTTCTTCTTGTGGATGATAATTTCAAAAAAAATACTTATTAGATTTGAAGAGTATATGTTTTGGAGGGGGAAAAACTTCTGCTTTCATTTTTAAAATAATATGCTTTACCCAAAACCAATCACAAAAGTCATCCTCACACACTGAAGAAGATGATGAAAAGGTATTATGCAAAACACGCTCAAATCTCACAAGCAGTTCAAATTAACAAGTAGCTTAGTTTACAAACCATCATCTTTAACCTCTACTGTATGAAATTTTAATAATGTTAAGTTTATTAGATGTTAAAGACAATGGCTTGTAAGCGAACAGACTAATTTGAACAAATTTATGAGATCGGAGAGACTTATTTACGAAGATTATGATCATATATTCTTACCTATTACGAAGATTATGGTCATATACTTGGTAACGGATCAACAAACCCATCAATCCAACAAATAAAAAAATAAATATCATGTGAGCAAGTCTACCACCAAGTTTATCCTCTAGCTTATTTGGTGTTAAAATTTTGACGATTTTTAGGTTAAATTACCACACTGCCCTGTGTTAATTGTAACTCGTCATAACCCAAAAAAACCTGACCTAATATAAATCAAAATACTGAAAAAGAAACACGTTTTGCTGCTTTCTCCGCTGAAATAGATCTCGACGACCTTAACACGAAGTCTATTGTTTGGACTACATTTTCATTTAGGTTTTTTCATGGAGATCGTCTTTAGAATTGGGTCATTCCATTAAAATTACTTTAAAAAACTATTTTGTTAGATTTGATTTTGTAACTCTATTATTTAATTAAGGATAATTTAAACATTTTCAAGAAAAAAAAAATCTATTTTTAACAAAATATTCCAATTTTATCTCGTTACAAGCCAGATGCGGATAAAATTAATAGAAATATCAGGATAATTTCTTCTTCTTTTGGATGATATAACTTCGAAAATACTTAGATTTGGGGGGAGAATACTTTTTACCTTTCATTTTCAGAACAGTATGCGTTACTCAAAACCAACCACAAAAGTCATCCTCACGCACGGGAGAAGATGACCAAAGGGCCTTACGCAAGCCCCACGTGGCAAGCCGCAGTCAGCGGACCACGATAATTTCGTGGAACCTGAGGAACATCCAGTCAAATGGTTGCTAAAATGGCGGCCTCCATTTAAAGCCGAGGAGTAGACTTCTGCTCTGAAAAAACAAATAATTATCCAAAATAAATGAATAATTCCATCCGTAATTAGTTTCCAATTTAACAAACATTTCCCCAAAAAAATCCGGCCTAAAGATCCTCAAAGTCTTCACCAGCTAACCAATCATTATTGAATCCTTATCTGTTTCGATCCTTTCAATATAAAAACCCCTTCTTTGGGATCTCCACCAATCTCTCTCTCAAAGAGTCAAAGCCAAAAAAAAAAAACCCAGAAAAACTAGGGAAATTTTGAGAGAAAAATGTCGAGTAAAAACGAAGTCTTTATCGGATCCGTTGATCAGGGAACGACGAGCACTCGATTCATCATCTACGATGGAGACGCGAAGGCCATTGCTTCTCATCAAGTCGAGTTCACCCAGTTCTACCCTGAAGCGGGGTATTGTGAAATTTTTAATTATAATCTCTCTCTCTCTTTGTTTTGGTTTATTTTTGCTTGCTCACTAAACCCACAATTTAAAATGAATGGATGCTAAAACTGTCCTTAAAGCTGGCCTGCTGTGAAAATTTTGAATAAAAATGTTTCGTTTTTGGGTATTTTTTTGTTTGGTCATCAATTGTTTGGTTGAATGTGCAGATGAGACTGACTGTGATATCATTTGTAAGAGACCCAAGATACTTATGCCTTAAAAAAGCTACCGTTAGAGTGTGAAAACCCAGAATTTTATAAGCAGATAATCGCCAAATTTAGAGTGAAAATATCTGTTTTAGGTATCGTTTTGGTTGCTCAACAATTGTTTACTTTGTGTAGATGGGTCGAGCACGATCCAATGGAGATTCTGGAGAGCGTGAGGGTTTGCACTGCGAAGGCGCTAGACAAGGCTGCGGCTGATGGGTATAATGTAGAGGCTGGGTTGAAGGGGATCGGGATCACAAATCAGAGAGAGACGACTGTCATCTGGAGCAAGTCGACGGGGTTGCCTCTTTATAAGGCGATTGTTTGGATGGACGGACGAACTAGCTCAATCTGCAGGTTTGAAATTTTTGATCTTCTAGGTCAGAATGGTCATCATCCATGTTCGAGATTTATTTGTTGTTGTAGGAAATGGAGAAAATTGGTTGTGTATGCTAAGTGATGCAATTGCTTGATTGGAGAAGTAGGTCCGTCTTACCTACGTAGACGAGGCTTTGTTTTTGTTCCTTTAGGTACCGTTTGGCAAAGAGTTAAGTGAGGGATTAATGAGACTTAACCCTTTCTTAACCCGCCAAACACAAAAAAATTATACAAGGGTTAAAGTGAGTTAACCCTCCATAATTTGCTAAACATATAAAATATAGAAGGGTTAAGCTAACCCCTCTAGAGGATTAAAATGAGTTAACTCCTCATTTTGAGGGGTTTACTAATACTCCTATTTGTCAGCAGCAGCCCATGTGAAGCAATTATTTTTGACTTTGGATAAAAGAGCGGGCCCTACTTCATTATTATAATATAAATGTATAGTGAAATATTAATATTTTATTGTGCATAGTATTTTTCAAAACACTATAAATAGGCTCCAAATCCTTAAGAAAAATTCATCCCAGAAACAACTTCTCTTATAGAAGAGTGAGAGAGAAAAAATAGAGAGAGTATCTCCTTATAAAGAGAGATTGTAACTCCAGAGTTTTCTTCTCATAGTGAATTCTTCTATCCTTGTCTGTGGACGTAGGCAATCAAGTACCGAACCACGTAAATCTGTGTGCTTAACTTTTTATCTCTATTTTTACTCTACTATTGCTACGATCCTGCTCTATTAGACCCCGGGTTTGTCCCAACAAGTGGTATCAGAGCCAACTTAGGGTGTTTGTATATATCTACTTATCGTATGCTCTGTGGCTGCCACCAAAGATGGATCCTCCACATCAGAAAATAAGTTAGGTTATCATTTACCCTTTGAAGGTGATGGGTACTATTCATGAGTACGGTACTGTTCAAAAAATACTATACTATTCATAAGTACAGTACTATTCACGGATACGGTTACTGTTCATAAATACAGTTACTACTTACGTGAAATAGTAAGAAGTTATTGTTCGTAGTATAAACAATGGCGACAAAGTTTAAGACCGAGAAATTCGACGGGAGTAATTTCTCACTGGAAGTTAAAGATAAAGACTATCTTGAGAAAAGATAATTGCCTAACGGCCATCAGTGCAAGGCCGGACGACATCACAGATGATAAGAAGTGGAACGAGATGGACGAAAATGTTATTGCAAATCTCTATCTGACATTAGCAGACGGGGTGCTGTCAAGCATAGAGGAGAAGAAGACAACAAAGGAGATCTGGGATACTCTAACAAAGCTATAAGAGGCGAAATCCATGCACAATAAAATCTTCTTAAAAATGAGACTTTACATTCTTAGGATGGCGGAATCTACATCGATGACCGACCACATCAACATCCTAAACACATTGTTCTCCCAACTCATAACATTGGGGTATACAGTTGGTACGAATGAACGTACAAAACTTCTACTTCAGAGTCTACCTGACTCGTATGATCAACTCATCATCAACCTGACAAACAACGTCCTCACGGACAATCTAGTCTTCGGCGATGTTGCAGCCGCTGTTCTGGAGGAAGAAAATTGGCGTAAGAACAAGGAAGACAGACAGACAAGTTCTCAACAAGCGGAGGCTTTAACGGTGACGAGAGGAAGATCAACGGAACGTGGCTCCAGTGGGAGTCATACCCATGGTAGATCCAAATCAAGAAGTAAGAAGAATGTCAAATGCTACAACTGTAACAAAAAAGGCACGTCAAATCGAAGTGTTGGCACAATAAGAAGAGTGGAGATAAAAAGTCTTCAGAGCCATCAACATCTCAAGGATGCGTTGTCAGCCACTGAAATTTTATTCAGTAGAGCAACCACTGTTGATGAAGGCAGAAAGAGGTTTGCTGATGTTTGGCTTCTAGATTCAGCAGCCTCTTGGCACATGACCTCTCGGAGAGAATAGTTTCATAAATATGAACCTATCTCAAGAGGATCTGTATTCATGGGGAATGATCACGCCTTGGAGATTTGTGGTATTGGTACTATCAAAATCAAAAATATTTGATGGTACAATACGCACCATTCAAGATGTACGACATGTGAAGGGCTTGAAGAAGAATCTATTATCTTTGGGATAATTAGATGAGCTCGGGTGCAAGATCCATATTGAAAATGGGATCATGAAGATTATTAGAGGGGCGCTTGTGATGATAAAAGGAGAAAAGATACCTGCAAATCTGTACATGCTCAAGGAAAAAATCATGCAGGAAGCTGATTCATGTGTGGCATCAACCAGCCGTGGAGAAGAACAAACCATGATGTGACATCGTAAACTAGGCTACATGTAAGAACGAGGTTTGAAGATTCTTTCCGATCAGAAACTGCTTCCTGAACTTAATTCGATAGCTCTTCCATTCTGCGAGCATTGTGTTACTAGTAAGCAGCATCAGCTAAAGTTCAACACATCGAGTTCTAGAAGCAAGGCTATTCTGGAACTGATTCATTCTGATGTAGGGCAAGCACCAGTTACATCCTTAGGAGGAGCAAAATACTTTGTGTCCTTTATTGATAATTACTCCAGGAGATATTGAGTGTATCTTATCAAGAAAAAGGCGGATGTGTTCTCAGTCTTTAAAGTCTACAAAGCGCGGGTCGAGCTTGAATCTGAGAAAAAGATCAAGTGCTTAAGGTCAGATAATGAAGGAGAATACACAGACGGTGAATTCCTAGCATTCTGCAAGCATGAAGGTATCAAAAGACAATTCAGCACTGTTTATACTCCTCAACAAAATGAAGTGACAGAGCGGATGAACAGAACTCTGTTGGAAAAAACAAGAGCTATGTTGGTAACTGTAAATCTGGAAAACGTCTTTTGGGCGAAAGCAGTAAAAACAGCCTGTTATGTGGTGAATCGATCTCCATCAACTGCAATACAATTGAAGACGCCGATGGAGATATAGACTGGTAAGCCAGCTGATTATTCTAACCTCCATATATTTGAAAGTCCAGTGTACGTAATGTACAATGTCCAAGAAATTACAAAGCTGGATTCAAAATCCAGAAAATACATATTCTTGGGGTATGCTGATGGAGTAAAGGGGTATCGCCTGTGGGATCCCACTGTCCATAAGGTTATCATCAGCAGAGATGTTATCTTTGTAGAAAATCAACTATAAAGTAGTGAAAAAGAAAGCAGTTCGAGGAATGACTCAGTGACTGTAGCTGTTCAGGTAGAAGATGATCCGAATTCTTCTGAAGCAACATCGGAGCATGATGTATAAGAACCAGTCCAGTTCGAGACTCCAGAAGCTCGAAGGTTAACTCGTGAGAGAAGGCCACCGACTTGGCACTCGGAGTATATTACGGAGAGTAATGTTGCATACTGTCTTCTAACAGAAAATGGAGAACCATCAACTTTTCATGAAGCTATAAATAACACAAATGTATCTTTGTGGATGACAGCAATGCAGGAAGAAATTGAAGCTCTCCATAAGAACAAGACTTGGGAACTTGTGTCACTGTCACAAGAAAAAAAGACCATTGGAAACAAATGGGTCTACAAGATCAAGCGAAATGGCGATGATCAAGTGGAGCGATATCGTGCTAGATTGGTGGTAAAAGGATATGCTCAGAAAGAATGTATTGATTTTAATAAAATATTTTCTCCTGTAGTTCGACTTACAACAGTCCGAATAATCCTGGCTATGAGCGTTATATTTGCTTACATCTAGAGTAGCTAGATGTGAAAACAGCATTTCTTCATGGAGATCTTGAAGAAGAAATTTACATGCTCCAACCAGAAGGTTTTGAAGAAAAAGAAATAGAAGACTTGGTTTGCAGATTGAACAAATCTCTGTACGGTCTAAAGCAGGCGCCAAGGTGTTGGTACAAGAGATTTGATTCATTCATCATGAGCCTTGGATACAACAGACTTAATTCAAACCCTTGTGCATATTTTAAGAGGTTTAATGAAAATAACTTCGTTATTCTATTGTTGTATGTTGACGACATGTTGGTTGCAGGTCCCAACAAAGATCGTATCAATGAATTAAAGGCTCAGTTGGCTAGGGAATTTGAAATGAAGGATTTAAGATCTGCAAACAAGATTCTAGGGATGCAAATTTACCGAGACAAAATTAATAGGAAGATTTGGTTTTCTCAGAAGAATTACTTGAACAAAATATTGCGGCGTTTTTAACATGTAAGATTGTAAGTCAATTTCTACCCCACTTCCTGTTAATTTCAAGTTATCCTCTAGTATGAGTCCTAGCAGTGAAGAAGAGAGGATGGAGATGTCTCGAGTGCCGTATGCATCAGCGGTGGGAAGTTTAATGCTCGCGATGATTTGTACAAGACCAGACATTGCACAAGCAGTGGGAGTGGTTAGTCGATACATGACGAATTCTGGTAAAGAGCATTGAAATGCTGTAAAGAGGGTTCTAAGATACATTAAGGAAACCTCAAATGTTGCATTATGTTATGGGGATCTGATTTTATTGTCAGTGGATATGTTGATTCTGATTATGCAGGTGATCGTGATAATAGTAAATCCACAACAGGCTATGTGTTTGCACTTGCTGGCGGAGCTGTAAGCTGGGTTTCAAAACTACAGTCAGTTATGGCTACTTCAACAACAGAAGCAGAATATGTAGCAGCTACACAAGCTAGTAAAGAGGCGATGTGGTTGAAGATGGTGCTGGAGGAACTTGGCTATGAACAAAAGAAGATTTTACTATTTTGTGACAGTCAGAGTGCTTTGCATTTGGTAAGAAATCCAGCCTTTCATTCAAAGACCAAACACATTCAAGTTCAGTACCACTTCGTTCGTGAGAAAGTGGAAGAAGGAACAGTGGATATACAGAAAATTCACACCAAAGACAACACAGCAGATTTTTTAACAAAAGCAGTTCATACCGACAAATTTATTTGGTGTCGATCCTTTTGTAGTCTGACAGAGACGTAAGCAACATGAAGATGGCAAGATAGAAAAAATGATGTGAAGATGTGATTGATACTCAATCAAATCTTTAAGTGGGAGATTGTCAGCAGCAGCCCATGTGAAGCAATTATTTTTGACTTTGGATAAAGGAGCGGGCCCCACTTTATTATTATAATATAAATGTATAGTAAAATATTAATATTTTATTGTGCATAGTGTTTTTCAAAACACTATAAATAGACTTCAAATCCTTAAGACAAATTCATCCCAGAAACAACTTCTCTTATAGAAAAGTGAGAGAAAAAAATAGAGAGAGAGTATCTCCTTGTAAAGAGAGATTGTAACTCCAGAGTTTTCTTCTCATAGTGGATTCTTCTATCCTTGTCCGTGGACGTAGGCAATCAAGTGTCGAACCACGTAAATCTGTGTGTCCAACTTTTTATCTCTACTTTTATTCTATTATTGCTGCGATCCTGCTCTATTAGGCCCCGGGTTTGTCCCAACACTATTTAGAAGGATTAATAGTTAATCCTTCTAATTATAAAGAAAATAGTCAAAATCATTGTTATTCCCAAACACTAAAACTGATCACAATGGCTAAAATAAAACTTATTTAACGGGTTAATAATTTAGTCCTTCAGATTGTCGAATGGGCTAAGTACATTAATCCTTCTCTTTAACCCCTCTTCCTTAACCCTTTGCCAAACGGGGCCTTAATGTTGTATTAGAATTAGTAAAATTGTTTTGTCAGGTAAATGTTTTAGCCTTGTGTATCTGATTCTTCTGTTGATATTCAGAAGCTTATATAATTGATTTTTCCCTAATCCAAGTAAATTTGGCTGAAGCTCTTGTTCTGAGAAGCTACTTTTATGCTACATGATTAAACCAGTGCCTAGTATTACATAATCAATGTAGTTAGTTTATTTAGTTCCTTGCTTGTTGAAGAAGAAACCATTAAGTGAAATCTTGATTTTTCTTGCTAACTTAAATATATCCATATCTTGAACATTCAAACTGATGCAGGAGGTTAGAGGGCACTCTTTCAGGTGGGCGAGAACACTTCGTCGATACTTGTGGTCTACCCATCAGCACCTATTTCAGTGCTCTCAAGATCCTGTGGCTGATGGAAAATGTCGCTGCTGTCAAGGACGCTATAAAATCAGGAGATGCCCTCTTCGGTACGATCGACACGTGGCTCATATGGAACCTCACCGGAGGCTCTGGGGCCGTAGAATCAATCAAGGGATTGCACGTCACTGATTGCTCAAATGCATCCAGAACCATGCTCATGAACCTTCAAACTCTAAACTGGGACCAACCCACATTAGATACGTTAGGAATTCCCATTGAATTATTACCCAGGATAGTCAGCAACTCAGAGCCCATTGGTATTGTTGCAAAGGGATGGCCCCTTGCAGGGATCCCAATTGCTGGCTGCCTCGGTGATCAGCATGCAGCAATGTTAGGCCAGTTATGTCAAAAAGGACAAGCTAAAAGTACCTATGGTACCGGTGCGTTTATCCTCCTCAACACTGGTGAAGAGATAATCCGATCATCTCATGGACTACTTACTACGATGGCGTATAAATTAGGCCCCAATGCAACTGTGAATTACGCGCTTGAAGGGTCAATTGCAATTGCTGGTGCAGCTGTTCAGTGGCTTAGGGATGGGCTTGGACTCATTGGAAGTGCTGCAGAGATTGAGGGGCTTGCTGAGTTGGTGGAAAATACAGGTGGTGTGTATTTTGTACCAGCGTTCAATGGGCTTTTTGCCCCATGGTGGAAGGACGATGCTAGGGGTGTATGTGTTGGGATCACAAGGTTCACTAATAAGGGGCATATAGCACGTGCAGTGCTCGAGAGCATGTGCTTTCAGGTGAAGGATGTGTTAGACTCGATGCAGAAGGATTCTAACGAGGGAGGGGCAGGAGAGAGCAATGGTAGGGAGTTTTTGCTTCGAGTTGATGGGGGTGCCACTGTGAATAACCTTTTGATGCAAATACAGGTATATATACTTCTTCCTTGTCCGCTTAGTTAGTTCTTGTTTATTGCTCCTGGTTTCTTTTGGTTTCTGCTGTATTCTTTTGTTATGCTGATGTTCTGTTGGTGTTGAATACCTGATTCTTTCCTTGTGCTGGTAGTATTCCTTCAGTTATGCATTGTACCTTCATGCATATTACCGTCTTGGTTTAGTTTTGCTTCATGAGGCATTTTCGGTTGAGAAGGTCAGGTTTCCAAATTTCTACCTCGTTAAACTGAAGTCATAGTATAGATGCTTGCCAGGAAGAGAATTGTGCCCATCATGTGTTAGATCTTATAAATTTATAATTCTTCTAATCTTTCATATTTTGCACTTGCAGTTATATGTGATATTCTCCTTTCTATTTCAGTATCTACTTGTTCACGCATGTTAAAATGACCCGAGACCTTTTTGAAAATCCTTCCTTTATTTACACTTCAGTTTCTACTTGTTGTAACATGTTAAAGTTTGTTTGTAGTATGTGCAATTTCCAGTGTTTATCGCAGATTCATGAGCTATAATGTCTTGGGGCATGAAAACCTTAATTCACATGTGCTTAGTTTATCCTAATTATCATATACACCATCAGTCTGCTAGGTATTGCATTATTACTGATCTCAAATTTGACAACTTGCTGAATAAATTCATCATACTTTCGTAAAACATATTTATATAATTGTTCATAAGTGATAATTAGTATGCTCTAATCACTTTGACCCTTACATCTAACCCGCAGAGAGTTGATATAATTTGATTGTAAGTTATAACTATTGCCCATACCCATGGAATATGTTAGCAAGTAAGCTGATATGTGTTGCATATATAATAGAGAAATTTTTACTTGGGTTAATCCAGACTAATTGAGACATTTTCATATTCCTGACATAGAGGGTGTTTGGGGGAGCTTTTCTTTTTTTTGGTTAAACTAGCTTTTAAGTTAGCTTTTTCATATCTACTTGTTTGGTTCAATATCAAATAAGTTAGCTTATTAGTCCCGTTTAAAAAAAGTTGGTGTACCCAACTTTTCAAAAACTAGCTTATAAGCTCATTTAAATAAGCTAGGTTTGATTAAACAAATTGCTATTCTACTAGAAAAGTTTTTATACAATTCTTATCATAAAACTGAAAGCCGAGATAGCTTAAAAGCTTATAAAATAAGACCGGACAAACACCCTCATAAGCTTATTGCTAATGTTCGTGATGTGTTGTTCTTCATAGGCATGAAATCGAAGTAGTTCAATACATAAAAGGATTTTGTTGCGCTCATCCCTCAACATATGCATTTAACTTAGGAGCTGTAGTTATTTTTTAAATCAAAGTTAACGCCAATATGTGGCTTCGTAAAGAAATTGTTAACATGATCAGTGTACACTTGTAATTATAATTATTCTGGAAGTATTGCCTTTACTTGGCTACCTTGTCACCTTTCCTTACGACCATACTCCTTCCTGAATTCTGCTCCATTATCCTATGAGCAGAACTCATGACATTAAAAATTCTTATGATATTAAAAAAAAAAAATTATGGAAGAAATTTTAGAAACGGTAAACAGTAGCAAGTTTAATGCTGTGTATCAACACATGTGAGAAATTCCAAACTTTATCAATGACCAAAATTCTGTTGCCATTCTTCTTATGGGAAGGATCTCATTTTGTAATCGGTTTATCCCATTTAATTTTGGTACTTTGAATGCATTAGTTGTGAATCTTATGGCTTAATTTAGAACACCCTTTTTAAGTGAACTGGATGAATAATTCAACATGCTTATAGAAGGGTACTTTTATATATGTGTTAAAGATACCTCCAAACACACCTCAGTTTCATGACGCTGTTCAAATTTATACGTTTTATCAGCAGAGTTTCAACACATTTTCTGATTGAATTTGGAATTCATGGTATTAAGGTTATAACAATGTCAAATAATTATTTTACTGCTAGAATAATATTATTAAGATTGAGTTCAATACTTCAATTGATAGTTGATGTACAGTTCTATTAGGAATTTATTCTGATATTTCATCCTCCCTTTGTAGTTCACATATCAGCTGTGCTTTCTTCAAATTACATTCAAAATTCTTGTTATTGAGCTGGCTAAATTTAATATTTGCCTATCAAAAGCTCAATTATTTCGTCTTATCCACGGTTTCAATTTTTTCCCCCATCCAATCTTGGTAAAAGTAATATACATCCTACTTTGTTCCATTTGTTTTCTTTTTTCCATGCAAAGCTCTTCATATTACTCTTTATATGGAACATATTCTCAAGTTTTCCTATTTATAGTAACCAATTACCTTATTTCCTGGTTGCAGGCTGATCTCTTGGGCAGCTCGGTGATCAGACCTGCTGATATCGAGACCACAGCTCTCGGTGCAGCATTTGCGGCTGGCTTAGCCACTGGAGTCTGGACCGAGGCACAAATCTTTGCATCAGGGAACAAAGACAAGGCAACCATCTTCAACCCCAAATTGGGTGAAGAACTGAGGAAGAAGAGGTGTGATTCTTGGTTTAAGGCTGTTTCCAGGGCTTTCGATCTCGCTGACTTGTCTTAGCCTCCCTCGTTGTTTCTCTTCTCAAGTGCATATCCTTTGTCTAATTTATTGAATAACTTGTGCATCGTGTACATTCTAAGCATTGGACTTGTGTTATTGTTTCATCTTTTTCTCCTAGCCATAACTCGGCACTTTTGTGAAATTGTGTCAATTATATAATTCAAAGGTCTCATTGTTATTGATATTGTTGTTCTGGCTTGCAATTTTATATTTCTTAGGTAGAACGTTCATTACATGGGTTGAAATCTAGACTCATGCAGCGATATTTATGTAAAATTGGTTTAAAATTTGTGACCGCTGAAGTTTGAACTTGGATTGCGCTAATATCACATGAAAAACGAACCACAAGATTTAAGATGTGATTCACATCGAGTCAAAACACAAGTGAAAGCCATACTGCCAATGCTAAGAGCACACTATCCGTGGGGTTAATTGTGAGTGCGCTCCTTCTTGTACTGTAGCACAATTGCATATGGTCCTTATGTAGTTCTATCTATGCAGATAGACCTCTTGAGTGAACTTTTTCGACTCGTGAAGGAGTCAAAAAGTATCAGAGGGTCTGTCTATCGGCAACTAGATGAAAATACAGGGGGTATATCCGCGATTAACCCTATCCTTATTTCTGGCTGACAGGGCACAGTTCTCTCAAGAAGTAAAAACTGAATGAAGACAGTAGAATGCACAATCGAAATGAATACTACCAGCACCATAGAACTATAAACTGCTCAACCCCAACATAACATCAGTATAATCATAGAGCACCAAGTACGCAGAGGTGGAAGGTTTGTACTTGTACCTGTATTTGCATCATGAGGTAATTCAAAGTGCAGCTTGATGAACAGTATTCGTTGGAGTTAAACGAAAAGATTTTCGTTAAAAAAGCTTGAACAGATAATCAAAGAGTCAAGTAAACTCTTGATTTGACCCTAGCGGTCTATTTATAGACAGCTGGAGCTATCAAATTGGAACAGAATTTGAGGCGAAAATCCAGCCCAAACGCGATCTCCGCGTTCACACTGAGTCGATCCGACTCCTAAAACGCAGGGCTTACCTTTATGTGTCAATTTTCAAGACGCGAGACTCAACTCTACGTTTCAAATTCTAAACGCAAGGTTCACCTCCGCTTTTCAAGTCCTAAACGCACGACTCACCTTCGCATTTCAAATTCCAAATGTGAGACTCATCCTCGTTGTGAGGCTTGAGTTTCCTCTGAGATTAGGGTCTTTCTTTTTCTTCTGAGAAAATCACCATTCAGATGTTAAAGTGGTGAGATCACTCCCCTCCGTCTTGGCCCTCACATCGAGCTATCGCCGCCATCTTAGATAGTTAGAGAGAAGCTAGCAATGGCCATCAATGTGACGAAAGCTAAGAAGAAACTGATCCTGCGTGATTAGTGTTTGCAATCAAGTCCATAACGCCTTCAAAGTGGATGTAATGAACAATCACCCAACCAATCCAAGACCAAAATTGGGATCCAAAGTATTCCGAAAATACGTTCTAGTCAACCGCAAACTTTCAAAAACTTTGGAGGGGTTCTGTTGGTTGTCTAAAAATTATTGCATATAGCTAATTCCCATCAAGCACTGATAATGGAGGTTAGAATTCGATGACTTCCAGAAGTTTACAAATTGAAGAACTTCATAACGATCGACGAAGGTTACAATTCAACAACCTTCACAACAACCAATGAAAGTTCTGATTCGACGACCTTCACAATCATCACCAGGAGTTACAATTGACGATTCTCACATTCCAAGGAGCTGAGATGAAGATCACAATGCTTCCAACGCTCTAACTAAAGGGACTACAAATCAATGGTCTCTTCAACTCAAAACGCAGAGCTCACTTCTGCGTTCCAAGCAACAAAACGCGAAGCTCACCACTGCGTTTTCGATCTCAAATGCAGAACCCAACTCGCGTCCCAAGTCCAAGACGCAGAGTTCATGCCCAGAACGTAAATTTTGTTTGACTTGTTGAAACACGCTCTAAACGGTTCTAAAACGGTTTCCCACGATTTGAGGGGGATTACACCCCACCAGGGAGCGATTTTAGGGGTTAGTTACACCCCTTAATTCCCTATAAATAGCTAAAAATCATCTTAAATCAGATTTTTGTGGCAGATCTTCGGCTGGAGCTTTTGGGGAGATCAGAAATTATCTTGGCTAGGAGGAGAGATCTTGGGATCATCCTGGAGGATCGGCTTTTGAGATCGTCTTGATTTTGGCTTTGAAGGTTGGCTTTTCGAAGCACCTTGATCGGCTCCAGTTTAACCCGCCTAGCAAGTTTATTTTGGTTGAAAGGGATTGAAATTCATTTCTCAAATCAACTCTTTTGCAGAGTTTTTAACTTGCTCATCAAGTTCTTCTAAACTCGTTCAGAGTTCTAAAACTTGCTTTGCAAGTTCCTCCAAGACGTCGAGTCAAGAGGCGAAGACAACGTTCCACGAGTCGAAGCGATCGGATCGTTAACGGGATACAAGATTCAATCTTCCATTGACACAAAGAAGAACCCATGTTTAAACAAAGGGAAAGATCTCCGTCGATTCATTCTCTCTTTTGTAAATCGGGAAACCGATATAGAAGAGTTATAATTTCTTTTTCTAAATCAGCTAGAGAGATATTACAAAGAGAGATTGTATTCATTCTTTTCCTAAGTTAGCTAGGAAGATTAATACAAATTTTGTTCTTATCTCTTCTTTAATTTTCCCACAAACATCGACAACTGGATATGTGTTCACTTTGACCCATGAGCCGGTGTGTTGGAGATGCATCTTACAGTGTACAGTGGCTTTGTTGACGACGGAGGCAGAATATATAGTAATTATGGAGGCAATTAAGGAGGCAATTTGGCTTCGAGGACTTTTGGAAGATCTTGGTGTTTTTCAACAATCTGTCACTATTCATTGTGATAGCATGAGTGCTATCTACTTGGCGAAGAATTCCATGCGAGGATGAAACACATCAATGTTCGCTATCATTTCGTCCGGGATGTTCTTGAAGATGGGGATGTGAAGCTTTTGGATATCCACACAAAAGACAATTCAGCAGATATACTCACAAAGGTGATCCCGAACAACAAGTTCGATCATTGTAGAAGCTGTTGGAAGCTTTGTTCATGAAAAGGCAATTTTGCCTTTGTGAATAGTCTCACATTAGAAAATGAGATAAATAGTAAAGGGTATATAATGGTTCTCTCCTTATTGGGCTTTGAATAGTATTTTGGGTTTTGTGGGCTTTGCATTTCTACCACACACGCGCGCGCACACGCCACGCCTCGCCTCGCCACGCCACGCGCGCCACGCCACACACACACACCTTTTTGCTTCCCAAGCTTTTATTTTTGCACGTTTTACACGTTCTGTAACGACTGCATCCGCGTAACGGAAGCAAGATTCGTGCGTAACGGTCCCTTGGATTCAGCGGTGGTTACACCTCTCCTCACCTATATAAGCAGGCTTGGAGCTCATTCAGAAGTACACCAACGAAGAGAAAAACATCTTCTAAGCTCTCTTCTTTCTCTACTCTTATTCCTCAAAGAAATTTCGGCTACATATTTGTATTAATTTTTTTGGGCAACCGTTTTCGTCTGAGCATAAGCTCTGTGACTCACGCCCGAGTGCAGAGGCCGGCCGATGAGCATAAGCTCTGTGACTCACGCCCGAGTGCAGAGGCCGGCCGATTCCGGGGGTTTTTACCACTAGGAGAGAGAGGACAAATTGGGTCAGGGCGATAGGCGGGTCCTTAATCTTCTAGGGCAGTGACATCACGACTGCTCCCGATCAGGCCTGAATTTTTCTAACTCTTTAATTTGTATTTTATATCATTATATTCCTATTTTGACAGCAGAAGCTTGTTACGGATTTGCGCTTGTTGAGGCCTTTCGAGACCATTTGGATGAACTGCGGGCAGCTTGATCCCTTGGGAGAGGGGGTACGTAGGCAACCACATTGGTGCAGCCAGATTTGGAGAGACGACGCATTGGTGTTCTTGTTGGTGTCGGCTCAGTTTTGGGAACACTTCGCCGAGGTGGAGAATTGTTGGATAGTAGGTTATTGGGACATTCAGGATTCCTAGTATGTTTTGGTTTTGGTTTTAGAATTATTGGATTCCTAGTCTGTTTTGGTTTTAGGGTTTCTATATATATAGAACATTTTAGAAGAGATTTGTAGAGAGAAAAAGAGGTTGTTTTGAGCACTTTGAGAGGGAGATTATTGTGAAGGAGTGAGATCTATTGCTTAGGGTTATTTTGTGATAGTTTGAGTGATTGTAACCCGTTGTTTTCTTCTCCATATAGTGAAATCTCCCCTATCCTCTCCCCGTGGACGTAGGCAATTGCCGAACCGCGTAAATCCATGTGCTTGTGTGTTGATTTCGTGTCATTCTTTGGTGAATTGCACTCGTTGGTTGTTCTTCTCTCTTGTTCGCCGACTCGTGTGGGTGTTTGATTCGCGAACACGCTTCCGCTGACGCGCAACATGGAATGAATATTGCCAGCACCATAAAACTATAAACTGCTCAACCCCAACATAACATCAGTATAATCATAGAGCACCAAGTACGCAGAGGTGCAAGGTTTGTACTTGTACCTGTATTTGCATCATGAGGTTATTCAAAGTGCAGCTTCATGAACTCAGAGCAAAAACTTCATATCATCATCCTCCCTCTTTTGTCCTCCTTCCTTGTGAGAGTTACTTGTGCATGTATACAGGTATATATACTTCTTCCTCTGCTATAATTGGTGTCTTATTGATTGCCCCTCTCTTCTTTTTGTTATGCTGATGTTTTGTGGGGGTTGAGTAGTTGTTTTCTTGTGCTGCACAATTTATGTATTGTTGAGCATTTTGGTAGTATTCATTCAATTATGCACTCTTGAGCCTTCATTCTTAGTGTTGGCACTCCAATTTTAGTTTACTTCATGAGGATTTTAAAATAAAAAAAATTAAAAGTTTATAAACTTTTACTAGACAATACTGAACGGTAGTATAAATACCTAGCTATAGCAAAAAAATAATAATAAAATAAAATAAAATAAAAATAAAAAGAAAGAAAAGAAAGTTGTGCCCCCGTCAGGTAGAAGGACTATGGATAGAATTATGTTAGGCTTTGTTGCACATGCGTAACCTAACTTGTTTTTTGCAGCATTTACATACGCTGAACTTTTTTAAAATTTGCATTTTAATATC